ACACTTCACACACACACACACACACACACACACACACACACACAGATATACAAATGACCAATGAACATATAAAAAAATTACTTTTGTGCCTGGGTGGCTCAGTGGGTTAAGCCTCTACCTTCACTCAGGTCGTGATCTCAGGGTCCTGGGATCGAGTCCCATATCAGGCTCTCTGCTCAGTGGGGGGCCTGCTTTCCCCTCCCCCTCTGCCTGCTTCTCTCCCTACTTGTGATCTCTCTCTGTCAAATAAATAAATAAAATCTTTAAAAAAAATTACTTAAGATCACTAGCCATCAGGAAAACACAAATTTAACCACGAAAGAGATACCAATATACATCCTCTGGAATAGTTCAAATTAGAAAGACTGATGAAAAATGTTGGTGAGGATGTATACCAGCTGGAATTCTCACACATTCACAGGAGGTTGGAGTGAGTGTGTAAAATGCTACAACCAATTTGGAATATTATTTAGCAGTTGATCATATATCTACCTAAAAACCCAGAAATCCCCACACCTAGCTATCTACCCAAAATAGTTATCATTATACAAACATTTCTCAAGAATGTTTACAACAGCTTTATTCATAATAGTCACAATTTAAAAATGTCCATCAACAATCAATAAACAAATTGTGATATGGTCATATAAAAGAATACTATTTCTAAATGACATGAAAGAAACTACTGATGTATATAACTTCATGGCTGAATCTCAAAAATATTATTATAAGACAAAGAAACCAAACAGAAGAGAGTATACACCATGATTCCACTTGTATGAAGTCAAATCCAATCTATGGTGATAGAAATGAGAACAGTGTTTGCCTGTGGTGTTGAGGATTGACTAGAATGGGGATAAGGGAAATTTCTGATGGAAAATATCTCAAATCTTGATTGGGGTGGTGTGACATGGGTATAACAAAGAGAGTCAATTATCATATAGTTCACTTACTTGTGGAGCATAAAGAATAACATGGAAGACATTGGGAGATGGAGAGGGGTTGTGAGATAGGGAAATCGGAGGGGGAGACAAACCATGAGAGACTGTGGACTCTGAGAAACAAAACTGAGGGTTTTGGAGGGGAGGAGGTCGGGGGTAGGGTGAGCCTGGTGGTGGGTATTAACGAGGGCACATATTGCATGGAGCACTGGATGTGGTGCATAAACAATGAATTTTGGAACACTGAAAAAAATAAAATATGTTTTTAAAAGATTTTATTTATTTATTTGACAGAGAGAGATCACAAGTAGACAGAGAGGCAGGCAGAGAGAGAGAGGGAAGCAGGCTCCCCACCGAGCAGAGAGCCCAATGTGGGGCTCGATCCCAGGACCCTGAGACCATGACCTGACCCAAAGGCAGAGGCCTAATCCACTGAGCCACCTGGGCACCCCAAAAATAAAATAATTTTTTTAAATGGTCAAAACTCATCAAATTGTACACTTAGCATGGTACACAGAATTTCAAGAAAACACCATGACTTTTGTCTCTGGTGTGATTTCCATGATTTCCTTACAATAAAGAACAAAGGAGAGATTATATAGGTGGCCCTAATATAATCACATGATTACTTGAAAAGCAGAGTTTTCTCCACTGGTAAGAGAAGGAGAAATCAGAGAGCTTTTACACATGAGGAAGATTTAAGGTACATTGGCTGGTTTGAAGATGAAGAAGGCACATGATAGGGAATGCCGAGGATCTCTAGAATTGGAGGGCTGACTGATAGTCAGCAAGAGTATGGGGACCTCAGACCTACAGCTGCAAGGACAACACTCTGCCATCAACCTGAAGAGTTGGAAGTGAATTCTTCCCCAGAGCCTCCAAATAAGAGCCTGACCTGTATGACATTTTGATTTTGGCCTTGTGAGATCCTAAGTACAGAATCAAGTTGGCCCCATCCGCATGTCTCACCGACTGTAAGATAATAAATAGGTGTTGTTTAAAACCATTAACTCTGTGATAAGTTGTTATTCAACAATAAAATACTAACACATTTACAACCACTGTATGTGCATATTACCTCTCTCTTTCTCTCTCAGTATGTGTACGTCTATTTGAAGGAGTTTAAGCAGATTTAGAAACACAGTGATTTTTACTAGAAAACACACAGATAAGAAGCTGAGTTTATCTCATGGATATAGATATAGTAAGAAGCCTATGCTTCCCTAGCTGGTGAAGGGTAAGAAACTGATGTAACAAACACAGGATTCTTAAATAGAGCTCTTTGCATTGCTAGAAAAGATAAATCTATGTTTAAGGGCAAAAATATTTTTTTTATTTTCCTAAACACGTTCTCCAGTTTTCCCATACTAACATTTATTGAGCTCTTACTGTGTACCAGCCACGCTGTTAAGCTCTTTCCACGTAGTAACTCGTGCAATCCTCACAAAATCCCTGGGAGGAACATAGGCACTTTCAACACCTCCAGTTTACAGATATCTTTCTCCAGAATAACACACAGGTTACACAATGAGGTGGTCTCCCTCTGGAGCTCCAGCTTTTAACTACAATGCTATATTTTGTCCCGCTGAAAATGAAATTATCCTTGTGTATTTCCCTCACACTCCAAATTCAACCCATCAGAGCATCCTATTGGCACTAACTTCTAAGCATAATGCGCCCTATCCAAGCCACATCATACCTCATGTGGGCCATTGAGAAGGTCCCCTCTTTGCCCTCTCTGCTTCTGACCTTGGACCCATCCAAGGGGGCTCATTTGATCCAGTCAGTTCCTTTCTCTCTTCTGCTTAAAACCCTCTGATGGCTTCAAGTGCAGTTAGAGTCAAGATCTTACAATAATTGTCAGGAAACATTTGTCAGTATCTAGAGATGTTTTCAGGTATCATGCCTTTGGGCAGGAGTGCTCCTGGTATTCAATGGATAGTGGCCAGAGATGCTATCAAGCTTTTTGCAATGTACAGGCTACCCCCCAAACAAAGAATTATCCAACTCATACTGTCAGTAGTGTTGAGGTGAGAACCTCTGTTCTGTTGGACCTAGAAACAAATTCAAAGCAGAGAGTATGACATACGTTCCAGCCCTGGTATTTAAGAGCTCCTGGGCTCCCACCTAACTGCCATGGGGATACAGTACTCTGCAGGCTGAGGAACTCAGATATGCAGCCTCACTCCAGCACAGAGCAGCAAGCTGGCTCTGAGCTGAGACTGAGATTCTGAGACTGTGCAGGTGGCAAATTGAATTCTGAAGAGTGATGACCAAAAAGAGGAACATTCTTCAAAGACGCTGTAAAGGAATGGCTGCTACTGCTCTGACCTCAGAAATACCTGCTTTCCTCCTGCAGTTCCTGATCATTGCTCATCCACGCTCAAATGTTAATGACTAACATGGTCACGCATTTAGATAAGGATTGATTTTTTAGTAACTTTCTTTTCTCATAAGATAATACAAGCTTAATGTAAAAAATGGTTGGTAGATAATTTTTTTTTAATTAAACATCAAAAAGAACAGGGAAGAAGAAAAAATACACAATGCCACTACTCAATAGCCACTGATATTGCTACGGTGTGTATGTGTGTGTGTAAAGGACATGTTTCATCGCAAATATTCTCTCACATCATTAAAATTTTGAAGACCATTGTATGCTATTCTACCTTATGGCGTGCAATGTTGTTGATTTCAGACTTTTTCTAATTTTGGTCATTGGGTTGGATGGCACCCACTTCCCTGGTCAGGTGTCAGAATGAATGGAGAGACTATTTACTGAACAAATGTTTATAAGATGTTTTCTAAGTGTCAAGCCTTATACTAAGTCCTATGTGTAAGCCATGAATAAAATAGGAGTCTTCTGTATTCCAGATGAATCCAGTAGTAGTGATGGGTGGTGTGTGGGCAGAGAGCATATGAGAAGCTGGAAGCAGCTTCTGCAGAGGCTCTTGAGAATCACTGCTTTGGTGGTGAACTTAGCAAAGGAGACCATTTGCAACATCCTCCCATTAATCCAGAAGCTTGTCATTTTTACTGAGCCCCACACCCCTGACTATCCCAACTGCATATGGACCTCTAAATCCCTGTGTGGAAAACTATCCTTGGACTATGTATTAGTCTTCTAAGGCTATTATATCACTGTAGACTGGGCATCCTAAATGACAGATTTATTTCTCACATTTCTGGAACCTGGGAAATCCAAGGTCTGATGTTCCAGTCAGTTTAGATCCTATGAGAGCTCTCTTCATGGTTGAGGATGGTCACCATCATGGAAGCCTCACCCTTATAAACCTCAACCAGCTCTAATCACCTCCCAAAGCCCCATCTCCAAATACCATCTCACTGAGGGTAGGGCTGCAACATACACATTTTGGAGGGACACAGGTTACCTAGAGTGTGTTTCGTTTGTGGTTTGTAAAACTTCAATTTCATTCTATTAAAAAAAAAATGTGTTCATAAACCATGGAGATAATTTGTTATTAAGCGAGTGTATAGTTCCCTTTATCTCCTGCCATGTGGCTTATGTTATATATATTATATATAGCATATTACACTTAATATCAGTTCACATGTGATTTCCACAAATAGTTACAAATCCCCATTCTATGCTGGGTACTGAGGTCTGTGGAGGAGAGTTGAAACTGACCTTACAGAACTCAGAGTCTAATATAAATTGGAGGGTTTTCCCCCCAAATTTCATTGTTAAACAAATGTTTCAGTGAATATTATTTATGTCTAACTGACATGTGTGTTTTAAGAAGAATTGTGTGTGTGTGTACCTGCAAGCTAACATGCACTTTGTAATTTCGTTCAAACATTAATAGTCTGTGAATACCTTCTTCAGGAGAGTCATATCCTTGGGACTGGGATCCTTGTCACATGAGTCTTCATGTGACCTGGACCTTTCACAGAGATGCATGCACAGTGGACACTCCATGATGCTGGCTGGAAGATTGAGGAAGGCATTGGCATTCCCATATCACTCAGCTCAGGCTGCCATAACAATTCATTGCCCGAGTGGCTTAAGCATCAGAGGTTTATTTTCTCACTGTTCTGGAGATGGAAATGTGAGATCAGGGTAGCAGCATGGGCATATTTTGACAAGGCCCCTCTTCCCAGCTTGCACATGGCCATCTTCTCACTGTGTCCTCACATGGCAAGAAGAGAGAAGGAGAAGAAGCTCTCCGGTATCTCTCCTTTTAAGAGCCCTAATTCTATTGAAACAAGGCCCTAACTTTATGAATTTTTTTTTGAATCTTAATTATTTCAGTGAAGCCTCTTTCTCCAGATATGGTCACATCAAGGATTAAGCCCTCAGTGTATGAATTTGGAGGGGGTGGGGCACAAACATTTAGTCCATAATAATTCTCATTTTACAGATAGGAAATCAGGATATGACAGGATGTCAGCAATGCTTTGTCCCAAATGCTGACTCCCTCTGATGGGTACTGGGTGCTTGGATCCTGGGAGGGGAAGGATTCTGGAGCCATACCCAGGCTCAGAGGGAAGCTGGGCATGAATCAGTTAACTGTGTGTGTATGAGCAGGGGCAGGAACCAGCAGTGTGTGTGCTTAGCACTACATAGCATTATCTTCCTCTTTAATACTCACACCCTGCAAGGCAAGCATTTTCTTTCCGAGATTACATGACTGCCTTAAAGCTGGAGAATTTAAATATTTTACCAGAGGGCAGTTAAAGGTAGGACTTCTATTTGAACCAGTTTAAATTCCTTTTTATGGTGCAACTGACTTAACTTGAATTCCTTTAATTCTGAGGACTTTGTCAGTTTCTCACTTCACAAGACATTTAAAAAAATATATTCATCAGTCAAATCACAGTATTCAAGAAGGTAGAAGCATAATTGACTCTCAGAGATCATCTAAATTGAGTGATTAAAAAAATATGTATTAGTGAAATATTTTTGTCAGTGAGGTGTTATTAGAACTCCACTAAATAAAAAGCAGTTGAGTTGAGCAGGATAAATGCTTCCCTTTGCTACTCCCAGATCCCTGGAATTATCTCCAGGAAACCCCAGAATTCTGCGGAATGTAATTTATAAACCACCGATCCAGCTACCCTCTTTATTCATTTAGAAAGGCACCAATTACTTACTGAAGGTCACACAACTAATTAATGGCAGGGCCTGGCGTCTAGCTCTGGACTCTTGATTCTTAATGTGATGCTGCTTCTAATACACAGGTGTTGAAATATTTTTAAAAATCATCTGTCACTTTGAGGCACCAAGTTCCTCTGGAATCATAACTGAATTATGTAGGGCACGTGAGGTTTCTTGAAAATCCCAAAGAAAACAAAGGGAAATTGGAAAAGCACTGTGGGATTGACTGCAAACAATTGAAATTCTTCTCCGTTAAATGTCGCGATGAAAAGGCCAAGACAAGCACAGTTCTGCAAAGAGGAGAAATGAAAAGTCAAGTCAGAAAGCTTTACAGATGTCGATATTCTGCTGAGAAGACTTAGTTCCAGAAGAAAAGAAAAGCTCTAGTTACTGAGCACATGCCAGCTTCTGGTTCCAGTATAAATGCCCAGTCTGACTCTGGCTCAACCTGGTGTGTGTTTAATGAATATTTCAGGGGTTCCTACAGAGTTGAAGGACTTTTGAGGTCAATGAGGCCCATCTACCCCCTCCTGCAAGAATCTTCCTCACAGCAACTGTCATTCAGGTGGGTTACCAGCTCTCACACCTGGTGGGTAGCTCTGAACATCAGCAAGACCACACTTGTACAGAGCTTAAAAAGAAAGGGGGAAGGGAAAATTCTTTCTGTGAAATTAACCCATTTGATTTTTTCCAACAATCCTGAAGATGGTACAATTGTCATCATTTTACAGGTGAGAAAAAATGAAGCTCAGAAAAGTTAGACAATTGGTCCTATGGTATATTGGTACCATATTGGTACATATCGGTGCATATGGCTAATTAGGTCACAACGGGCACATGAACCTGAATCTGCCTGAAGTCTTTCTACTGTTTGGCAGATATCAGTTGTGCATACAAATATTGGTTTCTGCTTTCTTTCATGGGCAAATCACTGGATTATGTGCTCTAGATTCTTATGCACCTCAGGTGAACCCAGGAAACTGATTTATGGCAAATTTAATCAGAAGTATTTGGAGCCATGTCCAAAGCTGGTCCTTAGGAGCACCTGTTCCTTTATAGTAAAGGTTGGGGTTGGGGAAAGAAAGAAATCTCTGAGGATCTTGAAGGAGAAAGAGCTATAGGATAGAAGGTGTTTGGATCCTTGAATGACTTCACAGAGCTCCCAAGCCCCCAGAACTGCTTCCTCCCTGAATTCTTCTTCAGATTATTAACCCATCATTATTTCCTGTTGCAACTACAGAGTAACAGACCCGGGAGATATTTGGGAACAGCTTCCTTTAGCTCTTTCAGTCAAATGCCAGGAAAAGGTGGCAATAACCACAGCTCCAGGGCTATTAGAACTAGCATTGTGATGTTCCAGGTTAGAAGTTTTACCAGGTCACCTGATGCATAATTATGGGCTGAAATACACATCTGGATTCCCATTACGCATTGATAAAATTGTCAAAGTACTGTGATAGGGAGAAATGCTACCAAATCCCAGCTGCCCTTCAAGGTTGAAAAGCTCATTCCCCAAAGGTGAAGGAAGCATTTTTAGGTCATAGCTTGCTTTTGAGTCTCTCTCAAGAGATGGCTCTTGGATGAAAAAATCCACCTCACATAACATCATAACACCTTCCCAGGCACATCATTTATCCAATGACTGGTCCAATGTTGAAATATAAAAGCTCTGCCCCCTTCAAAATTTGTCCTATCAAAATTTAGGACAGTTTGGTAGGCTATCCAATTTCCCAATTCCACCTACTCTCCCTCACCCTCAACCATGAGATTATTGGAAATATTTGTTGTCACTGTCATCCTGAAAAGATCTGCTTTTCCTTGATTCTGGTGAAGTGTCCAAATCTTATAGTTAAACAAATGATTTTTAGTGACTATGTATTTGTAAAAGCATGGCCTTAGGAAAAGGATATGCAAATAACAATTTTCTCTATAAAAGAAGGGAAATAATGATATGCTCAAAGCCATGGGCCCCCCAGAGAATTTTGGAACTACTTTAATTTCCTTTGTAATGTTTAATCCACTCACTTAGGCTCTGCCTGGAAACGAGGTGTTTAGACTTAGCAGGAAACCATTGCCCTACCTCAAATATTGTGTGACCTGTGACCATGGCAGTCTTCTTTCTTATAATCGGATTTATCCAATTCCTTTCGGAGGCTTCTTCTGCTTTGGGTACATACTTCTGTCATTGTTCACATCATATCATCACAGTCTAGTGATTTTAATTGTGATTATCTATTTACATGACCTTCTCTACCCATCTAGAATTTCCTTCAGAACAAATAAGGACAGTGGCTTATTAATTTCTGAACTGCCCTGGTCTTCATAGGAAGGGGTCCTCAAGAATGGTTTCTTCAATGTTGATGGAATGAATTCACATCATAGTGCTTGCCACGTAAAGACCGATTACAGTGGCTTTATTTACCACAGTTCTTTTGTTACCTTATCTAAAACATAAAATGGAAAACTTCATAAAACCCAATCTGGCTATAAAGTTGAACAAAGAGGATATGAATGTAAAAATATACTCTGTTCATCTCAAAAAAAGAGATAGGCCTTGCAAAAGAATAGCAGTTAGCCTGGAGGAGGAGGTTTTTTTTTTTGTTTTTTTGTTTTTTTGTTGTTTTTTTTTTTCAGCATAACAGTATTCATTGTTTTTGTACCACACCCAGTGCTCCATGCAGTCCGTGCCCTCTCTAATACCCACCACCTGGTTCCCCCAACCTCCCACCCCTCAACCTCTTTAAACCCTTCAGATTGTTTTTCAGAGTCCATAGTCTCTCATTGTTCATCTCCCCTTCCAATGGAGGAGGAGTTTAAAGAAGGAAGTTTTCATATAAGTTGGGCTTGAATAGGTCTGTCTCCCTCCATCCTCAACAGCACCCCCCAAGTGTATTACTATCTCATGCTTTAAACTTATAGAATCTATAATGAGGAATATGTGGTTTTCCTTCTCATGTAAATACAGAGCCTTACACATAGTAGGCCACTCCATAGTAAATATGTGTTTAAGGAAAGAAAGTAAAAAGACAAATTAAAAAAGGTAAGAAGAAATGAAGGGAAGAAGGAAGGAAGAAAGGAATGGAAGGAGGGTGGGAGGGAAATTAGGACAAGGTTAAAAAGACTAATTGCAGTTTATCTTATAACTACCTACTTTTGTCATAACAAAGCTGACAGACTTTTTATTATACCATACAATCTCGCTGATAGACTAAATCTTTTTTTTGAGGTTATCTATCTATCTATCTATCTATACATATAGCAGCCAATTCAACTGAATCAGGAATTCAGAGGGTATCCCAGTCATGCCTGGTGCTTCAGTCTTCCTAGAATCTGGCCTTCCCTTGATCTGTGGTCTGATTCCCACTTTTTTTTTTTATTTTTTTTTAAGATTTATTTATTTATTTGACAGGCAGAGATCACAAGTAGGCATAGAGGCAGGAAGAGAGAGAGAGGTGGAAGCAGGCTCCCTGCTGAGCAGAGAGCCCGACGTGGGGCTCAATCCCAGGACCCTGGGATCATGACCTGAGCCAAAGGCAGAGGCTTTAACCCACTGAGCCACCCAGGCTCCCCTGATTCCCACTCTTAAGCAGTTGACTCCATGATAGAATTGAAGACAATCTGAATATTCCTTTAAAAAATTAAGTAGGAAAAGATTAAAAGTCCAGATGATGGTTATGTGAAATCAAACCAAACCCTTAAGTAAGAGATACTTTGATTCCAAGTAAAATAGAACAGAATCTGCTATAATAAGGAAAAGACATATTAGTTAATCCTGAGGGCAGGGACACACTGAAGTATGAAATCTGGTATCTCACAAAAAGCTTCAAGGGTCAAAGTTATACAAACAGGCAACCCTACAGAGAATGGAAAAATCTCCTGTCTTGATGCTCCTGTCATTAATTGCTGAACTCCCTGTTACCCAATGAAGCATTATATAATTTTTGCTCTGGGCATGGATGTAGCAATGCCTTAAAATAAACAAGATAGTCAATTAGAATTAATCTGTTAAAAAATTACCCTGCCAAGACAAACTGTAGAAAGTGGAAACAAAAATTAAACAGCATTAAGGAACAAGGGATACATTTATGAGTCTAACAGTGATCACTAATCTCATAATTCATGAGGTCCAGTTGCTAATATGTTCATTCATTCACCCAGCCTGAATTATTCCCCTTTTCCTGGATATGGGTTAAGCATGCTCAACTCTGGCCACTGAATTGGGGCTTGGTTGCAATGTTCTGAATGAGGGATGCATATGGTCCAAGAAGGTCTAAGCAAGAGGAACCAAGTTTAAAACCTGGGCGCTGAATTAGATACTAATTTCAAAGGAGAGAATACAGCATGATGATGAAACCCTAAAGGAAATATATTCAGACACTGGTGGATGTCTCAGACACTGATAAAAGTTTTGGCTTCTCTTTAAGGGCTATCACATGGATCTTATAGGGGCTCAAAGGACTTCCCCTATTTTCAAAAGTCGAGTGTTGAGAAGGATCTATCTATTCATCCATTATCCTACCATCCATCCATGCTTTCACATATCCACCACTTATCCCTTTTAGCAATTTGGAGTAGGAGGAGTGAATGGAGACACAGTAAGTGTCTGCTGGTCAAACCCCGTTCACTTATGTTCATCCAGCACCTGCCACCAAAATTTAGAAAGAGACCCACCAGTTTGTACTGTGGTATTAACTCTGCTCTTACCATCCACACTAAGAGGTAAGAAGAATTTCCACAGTAATTGGTAGCTTTGTTGGTATAATCCAATAGCAGAAATACTTTGATTTCCTCACCCATAAATGGAGTTGGCAGTAGAACCTACTTCACAGGGCTGTTGTGAAGGTTAAGTGAACTTTAAAAAAAAATGTAAATAAGGCCTAGCACTATTACAACTTTCTAGAGTACCTATAGGTAAATAATAATTTATATTTTAAAGAGTATTATCACAGCCAGTATTTCATGGGTTTCTCTGCAAACACATGCAAATGAAATGCATTTCTTCTTACTTCAGAGCTTAGAAGATATCTAACAACCCTCTTCACTCTCTCTAAAATAATTGAGCTCCTTGAGGGCAAGGTGGGATGTTTCCTGCCTGGTCTGCCCAGTGCACATAGTATATGGTAGATAACTAACCACTACCAGTTAAACTATCAAAGTTGCAAAATCTTCTTGGATGGTTCTCTGAACTGCCCTGTTGACTTCTCTTTGGCCACTTCCCTGGTTTAGGTCTCATATGTCCTCTGGATTGTGGCCACAGCCACCCACCTGGCCTCCCTGCTGCCAGATCCACTTTTCTCTAGTGAGTTCAGAGTCATCTGTTCAAAATTAAATTTGGCTACACTGCTTTTAAAGCTCTCAACAGCTCACCATTTCAGCAGGAGGTAGCCCTCGGTCCTCACTCTTGCTCACCAGGCTCTGTGCAAAGTGCAGGTCTCACCATTGTTGTAGAGCTCTGTCTGTCAGCCCACTCCAGTGACTGGTCACAGGGGAGAGTGATAGGGCCAGGAGGTTAGGGAACATCTCCCCTCCTATCCCAACTCCCCCACCTGTCATGAGCATCCCCCCTCCCTCTCATCACTCTCACCCCAGAATACTGCATTTTGGCATGGGGAGCGCTGTGTAGTAAAGGTCTCTGTGCTGAACCCTAAGGGCAGAGAAGGTGAGAATATTTCAGGAGAGGAGGATGCTTTCCTCTCATTCATCTATCTTTAAAAATTTCATAAATTTTTTATATAAATTTTATATATTTTATATATTTTAAATAAATAAATCTTTTGAACATCTGTTCAAAAACATGTACATCACAGGATAAACTTATTCTTTCTGCATGCCAAAAAAACCACATGGGTCATGTGGCAGCCAATCATTTTGAGAAAGATTAATAGCAACAGCTGGGACCGTACTGTGCATTTTTGCTGCATTGTATAATTTCAGTCCTTGCAATAATGTGTGAGAGTATCATAGTAATTAAATTTTACAGATTAGAAAACTGACCTTCAAAATGTTATGAAACTTTGCTAAGATCAACCAGTATGTATGTGCAGAAGTGGGATTTAAATTCAAATTAAGACTATGTTTACAATGAAACATAAAAGCATGAATCTTACTTGTGAAGGGTATATAATCCTCATTAGTCCCTATTTAAGTGAACCCAACTTTCTGTCTCTAGGGCAACCTTATCAAATTTTAATCTACCTGTTAAAGGTACTGTATTTGAAGTCCCAGGAACATTACAAACTCTTCAGAGGATACTGAGATTCCCCCTTGGATACTCTTGCACATTCTGCACCTCACCAGGGATTAAATACTTTGGTGGCCTAGTTTAACTGTTGATGGGATAGAGACTATAAGAGTAATTAAGTTGCCGCATGAAAGACTATGATACCTGAGTGGGACTCTCTCAGTGGGTATTGGAGACCAGAGAGACTTGGTGAGACACCTAGAAGGAAGCTTCAAGACACTGTTCAGCAAGAGTTGGGAACAGTGCCAGAAGGCACCTTCACGTTGAAATGATTGATTTCTTCACTCATCTCCTTCCTCCTACACTGTAAGCTCCATGGAGGTAGAGGCCATGTCTTCCTTGAACTGGATGCACAGTTTCTAGCAGTGCCCAGCACAGAGTGTTTTTATTACACAGCTTGAGACAACTAGTGACTTCTTGGTAGGATGGAGAAGCCCAAAGAGCAGAGCTGCTGTCTTGGTGGGCAGTGCTGGTGCATCATAATTTGGGGATCTTGTGGGATCCACCCTGCCTCTCTATACAGCCTTGTTCACAACATTCACCCTCACTCACTGTGCATGCCTCCACCACACTGACCTTCTGCTAGTTTCTGGAATATGTCTATCCCCCTCTGCTGCCTGTCCGAGATAATCTTGTCCACATTCCGCTGCATGACTCCCTCTTCTTCCGTCTCAAAACATACCCTTCTATAACCCAGCTTTTGTTCTGTCCTCCTTTTATGAGCTCCCAGACAACATTTTTTCACAGTATTCACACAATTTTAAGATTAATACTTACTTAGTAGACCTTGCTTGTTACCAATGTCTTGCACTAGACTGAAATCTCCATGTTGACAGTTACAGTATCTTAGTGCTTGTCACAGTGTCAAAGACAGAGTAGGTAGTCAATACTTATTGAATAGTTGATTTTCAAAAGCTATGTGCCAGAAATTATGATGTCCAATGGGATAAGTAAATGTCACTGCATTTATGCCCTTTTTGATGAAATAAAGAATACAAAAAGTGCTGGGAGTGGGGTGGGTGCCTGGCTACCTTAGTCGCTTATGCATCTGCCTTTGGCTCAGGTCATGATCCCAGGGTCCTGGGATCAAGCCCACATCTGGCTTCCTGCTCAGTAGAGGAGACTGCTTCTCCTTCTCCCTCTGTCCCTCCGCCTCCACTCATGCTCTCTCTCTCAAAAATAAATAAATAAATTTTATAAATAAATAAATAAATAAATAAATAAATAAATAAATAACACTGGGAATTGAGTAGGGCAGAGAACAGAGAGTTTGGTAGTAAAATGCACTAGACACTATATGAAAAATAATAGGCATGCTTTTTATTTAATCAAAAATTTAATATGGTCATGTGCCAATGGCTTAATGTGATAGCTAATATGTGAGTAAAGAACAGTATTACATTGACAGTATTAGATACTCTTGTGTGGAACCTACCAAAGCAAGACTCAAAAATGACAGGAAAATCTAATTCAAAAAATGTTATAGCCAAAATGGTGGATGCACAGCTTAGAGGTGTTTATTCGTAATGAAGGTAGTGTGTGCACATATTATGTTTTATAATTCACACAACATTCTCTCAGGTAGTCATCAGTTCTCTTGATCCTATGGCTGTTAAGCCATGACACATGCCTTTTGAGATTGCAGATCTGTTTGTGTTCAGCAACAGGAACTGTTTCTGGGATGGTTGGGATTCTGCCAATGTGGCTGACTGGATCATTGTACCCATACCTGTTCACAAAATATCTTAGATTTTGATTTTTTACATGTTATCTACAAACAGAGAGTACTCTGTATGTGTGGTTGTGTATATTTTTCATAATCTAGTATTGACACTTTTTTATCTTTTAGTATCCTGGTACCCTTAAAATTTGGGAAAGCCTATGTCATTGGGAGGCCCTGTGTCCACAGTCCCTTATAAATTGAATAGAAGGGACATATTCAATAGGCCCTAGAACCAGCAAGGCTCAGATTTCTCCTTCCTCTGGTGCCCAGACTCTCTGAAAGCATGAGTATCATGTTCATTTTCAAATTTCAGGGCCTTGATTCTCAGCTCTATGACTACTTCTGAATCATGTCAACTCTTTGTGTCTTAGTTTCTTCATCTATTAAATGACAATACAAATTTCAGTCCACAATCCATATTCCACATTTCTGAAATCCAGAAAAAGTTCTGAAATATGAATTTTTTTCCCTCTAAGTTTGGGTCAAAAGTTCTTCCTAGCAGCAAAACTTTTCTGAATTGGCATGCAACTATTTGAGCAATCATTTGTCACACTTTATCTCAATATACACAATGTGAGGTCAGACATGTTAATGTGATTATGTTGGAGACGTTATATAGTATACAACATATATACTATGCTTTTATGGAGCCATAAACTTCTGTAAGCTCCAGGACCTTTATGGGAGGGGCTGTGGCCCTGTTCTTCATGGTGTGCTTCTGGGATTTGAAAAAGGTAGCATCCTTGATTCATGGTAAGAACTCGACAAAGGGTAGCCCTCTTTTCAAGGTATTCTTTTAGCTTTCCCTCATTAAACATTAGTACCCCTGCCCCTTCGCTGGCCATCTGGTTGGTAAACATCAGGCTTTTGAACAAGCTTTCATTCTATTTGTGATTGAGCATAATATCTGCCGTTGATTGTATAAGAGAGAGAAGAGGAATAGGAAGAGGGGAAGGAAGAGGAAGAAAAAGAAGAAGAGGAGAAGTGAAAATAGGAAAAAGAAAACACAACCAAGGAGAGAACAAAAGAACCAAGGATATAAGAATGAAATATGCCTGTTGCCCTAGCAACAGGGCTTATACTCCTCACCCCTATAAAACTGTTCTCTCTTTAGTCTCTGTTGATACCTATGCTGCCAAGCCCAATGGCAAAGTGTTTAAGAGGAATCCCTGGAGTCAGACGGTCTGTTTGACACCAAACAGCTGGGTGATTATGGTAGACCTTAAACGACACCCCCCTGCCCATGATCCCTGCCTTCTGTACTCATGGCAGTGTAGAATCTCTTTCCCATGGCTGCAGATAGAACCTATGACTTGATTTTAATCAATGAAATATGACTAAGGTTATGGGTGGCCACTCTCATGATTGCATTACATTGTATAAGACTGTCTTGCTAGAAGACTCATTCTAGAGATTCTTGCAGGCTACATGAGGTAAATAGCTACTTTGAGGAGATTCACAAGGCAAGGAACTCCAGGTAGCCTCTAGAAATTGCATGAAGCCTCTTGCCAACAGCTGGCAAAGAACTGAGTGAACTTGGAAGCAGAATCTTCCCTCTTTGAGCCTACTCATAAGAACACAGTCCAGCCAAACTTTGGTTGCAGCTTTGTGAAGCTCTAAGCAAAGGACCCAAGCAAGTCGTGGCTAGACTTCTGACCCACAAAACTGAGATAATAAATATGTGTTTCGTTTGAGCTGATACATTTGTAGTATTATCATCACACAGCATAGGAAAATAATACAATGACTGTCGGTGCCAACCTTTCTATGCCTTGGGTCCCTGGGCCACAAAATGGAAATGACAATAGTATTCACCCTGGGGCGTTGTTGTGAACATGTGATGATAACATACGTAACACAGAACAGTACTGGTACATCAAGAGTTACGTAGGCCTAGCTATTATAATTACACACGGCATAGTCTCTTCACACAATTTAACGTCTTGAAAATATTTGCTTCTTTGGCCTTTAGAACATCTTGTCCTCTTGGTTCACTTCATATGTTTGCTCATATTTCTAAATCTCATTCATAAACTTTTCTTTAGTCCTTCCATCAGGATCCTGCCTTCTTGTCTGCTCACCTTTAGCATCACCCTGAACGTTCCAGGGAAGAATTCCTTTCTCTTGCCCATAGTATGTTAAGCACTTTGAAAGGACTAGCTTCCTGCAGACCCTGATTGAGTGTTGTTGTTGTTGTTTTCTGGAAAAGAATGAGAGATTCTAAAAACAAAAAGATGAATTCAAGTAGAAATAGTATTTAGGCCCCTGGTGCACCTAAGACATTGTGACAGGTCCAATCACATTGTGTAGTCTATACAGCTGTCCACTGATATCAGCATTATTTGCACCAAGGAAAGAGAAAAAAAGGAGGCTCAAAGAAGTGAGTGGCAGTGTGAGAGAAGGAAAGAGCATTAGCTTTGAAGATAAATCTGGGTTCAAAATCACCCTCTGCCTCTTAATAGCTGTGTGACCATAAACAAGTTGTTGAACCTTTCTGAGCAAAATGAGGGTAGTAATATTCATATGAATAATAGGTACCTAAAAAGATAAGGGATGATAGAGAAATAGGTGATAGCTGAAAATTCACTGGAAGAAAGATGAGGACGAGGTCTTCATAAAATATATAAGGTGATACCTGATGATTCTTGATGATCTTCAGGTAGAATGTCATGAATGAGTTGAGGAAGTTTTTAGAGTCCTTGGTGGCTGATGGAGAGAGAAACGGGGCTTACAAAAAACATCTATGTTCTAGATGGCATCAAGAGGTATAGTGTTGCTTATTTTATGCATCCTTAAAGCTTTTTTTTTTTTAAGATTTTATTTATTTATTTGACAGATAGAGAGATCACAAGTAGGCAGAGAGGCAGGCAGAGAGAGAAAGGGAGAAGCAGGCCCCCTGCTGAGCAGAGAGCCCTATGCGGGGCTCAATCCCAGGACCCTGAGATCATGACCTGAGCTGAAGGCAGAGGTTTAACCCACTGAGCCACCCAGGCGCCCCGTGCATCCTTAAAGCTTTAAAGTGTGCTTAGATCCACATGTCTACCTCAACACTGGAAAACACCATTGCTTCTATTACCATAGTTCTTTATGTCTTGTTATAGAAATCCATTTATTCTAGGATCTAGGCACCTCTGGCTTGATGAGAAGTTAGTTAAAGGACTCTGAAGCAAGGTGGGGTCTGAGAGATCCATAGAAAGAACTTATCCTGAAAGAACAGAGAGCCAGAATGCCAAAGTTGAGTCTAAGGAAAGGAGGTGGATGGACAGAGAAGGAAAGGGGAGTGCCAGGATTCTTAACTACCCCTATGCACCTTCTACTACCTACCATCCCCACATTCCAGAGACTTAAGATGGGGAAGAAGAGGTCTTTGAAACAATAGACCAGTCTCACCAAAATCTCTATAATTCTTAAAGGAAAGACATCTTGTTCCTCTTCACCATGAAGGTGAGGGCCCCAGGATTCTGGTCTGAGGGAAAATTGTTCTGACTATCTCCTATCACGACAAAGCACAGAACTGGGAGAGAAGAGGATGGCAAGCACTCCTAAAAGGTACACTGAGTCAACCGTGAGGAATGTGAAGATATCTGTACTCTCAACAATTCTTCTGATAAAAGTGAAGGTAGCAAAATTTTGTTTTCTATCTGTAGAAATTGTGTGTCTCTGTAACCATTTTTAAAATAATTTCTTTAAAAAAATTTTATTATGTTGTTAGTCACCATGCGGTACATAATTAGTCTTTGATGTAATGTCGCATGATTCATTGTTTGCATATAACACCCAGTGCTCATGCAATATGTGCCCTCCTTAATACTCATAACGGGGCCAACCCATCCTCTCACCGTCCTCCCCTCTAAAACCCTCCCTTTTTTTCTCGAAGTCCACAGTTTCTCATGGTTCATCTCCCTATACAATTTTTATGTCTAGAAATTTTGTTTCAGTAACCATTAAAAAAAAAAATCTATGGGTTAGAGAAATCATCAAAACACACTGACATGTGGACTGTTGGGCCCTTTGCAGATAGGATTGCAATTCTATCAGTCAGTAATGTAGGAATCATGTAGCGGTGTCTGCATACTTTTTGAAATGCCTGGGTAAGACAAGCTGTACACAGTTGAATCATGGGTCAGGGAAACACCTTGATGAGGGAAAGATGGTGA